CAGCCCTCTAGAAACCAAATCTTAGTGCTCAACAAAAAGGACAAAGATTGTATGCCTTCCTTGTTTCCGTACCTTTCTATTTTTTGTGATCATAGTTAAATCATATCAATATTTTATATTATTTTTTATAAAGTTAATAAGACAAAATAAATAGTAATATAAAATATTGACGTGACTTAACCGTGACCACACAAACAGAAAAGCATGGAATGACACAGGAACAATGAGGAGACAATCTTTGTCCCAACAAAAAAAGGTCGTACAATAATACAATATGCTCAAATTAATCCACAATCATAAAGGCTTTTAATTATATTTTATTTGACTCTCTCTATCCATCTGTCAGACATGAATGTGACGTTAGATATTACTGACATGAAAGTAAAAAAAGGTGCAATTTCCCAATAAATAAATAAAGGAGACATTTAAAAATAAATAAATAAAGGAGCTGATTATTGCAGAGCACACATTGCTGACTCTTGTTGTTTTTGTTTATTTTCAAGCTCAATTAATGGTTTTTTTTCTGCATTCGCCAATACATATACCTAACAGTAAATTAACTTCAGAGTTACTTACTTGATTCAGTTGATTGTTGAGCAGATTAAATATTGGCAATTTTTTTTTTAATTAAGAGTTTGTTTGAAAGTGTTCTTAAAATGACTTAAACAACTTTTGGTGAAAGTAATGGGTTCCAAAAGCACTTCAAATGTTTTTTGGAAAAAGCACCATATATGATGTATGTGCTTCTTGCAAAAATCACAAGAAGCACTTCAAGTGCTTTTGCAGGATCTACTTGGATTTTTACTACTAAAATATTAAAATTACCACATATTTGTATCATCTCTCTAATAGAAATAGAACCCACATATGTTGGTGGGCCTTACCTATATTGGAGAGATGGTACAAATGATAGTATAACTATGTGGTGAATGTAGCATTACTCTTTTTACTAAAAATTAGTTTCAAAAATATTTTCACCAAAAGAGCCTTCAATTATTTTAAAAATACTTCCAAACGAGCCATAAGCTAATATATTGGAGGTCAAAATGTAGGCAAACGTTGAGAAATTTTTATATGTACGGTCGGAACAAAAAATGGTACACCTGTGTTAATATAAGTGGACGAGGGCATCTTTACTATTCTAGATTAGGAGAGGTTTTTCTCATGTACTTGGAAAATAACTAGTACACCACGTATCATAATATAAGTAGAGATGATATCTTTTTCAGTCTCCTTTCTCCTTCCACTTATATTATGATATGTGGTGTACCGGCTTATATTTCGGGCAAATTGAAAATTTTCTCTTATAGTACTTGCATCCCCCCCCCCCGGAGAGATGCACATATACTACTCCTTGCAATAAATTTAATAGTTAGAACCGTTCAATTCTTAATCTTCATTTGAAGATGATCCTTAAAAAAAAAAATAGTTGAATCGGAGATTAGTCATTCAAATATATCAGATAAATGAATGATTCATTATGAATATGTTATTAGGTACTCACATTGTTGATTTATTCCATAAATTTAGATGACTAAAACAATCTCCAATTCAAAATTTTTTTGTAGAATGATCTTCAAATAAAAACTAATAGAGTAAACGGTTTTGATTATAAATTTTAGGGTAAATTACACTGTACCACCTCAGGTTTGAGGTCTATTACAATCGCATACATCTTCAAAACATTTCACTTTCATACCTCACCTACTAATTTATTTCAATATAGTACCTCTATAACATTTTTCATTCATTAATCCGTTAAGAGCTGACGTGGCTGCCATAGTTGTGTCACGTGGCAAAAAAAAAAAATTATTCATTTAAAATAATTAATTAAAGAAAAGTTTTAAAAAAAGTTTATAAAAAAAAACCCCATCCCACCCCACCCCCACCCTACCCCGCCCCCATCTCCGCCGCAACCCCCCCCACCCGCCCCACCCAAAACCCAAAAAAAACCCAGTTGTTCAACCCAAAACCCCAAAATCAAAAGGGGGAATTGAATTCCCGAGAAGAAATAAGGGAGTGGGGGTTTTGGGAAGGGCAAAGCAAAGGGAATTCTAGAGAGAGAGAGAGAGAGAGAGAGAGAGAGAGAGAGAGAGAGAGGAGAAGTGGACTGAGAAGGAGAAAGTTGCTACAAGACCTAACCCGTCTTCTTCTCTTTGTCTTCGTGGGGGAATCTCTGTGTGTCCTCTGCAAAAAACCCAGCTGGGTTTTTTTAGGGTTTTCGGTGGAGGTGTGGGTGGGATGGGGTGGGGTGTGGGGTTACGGTAGGTGGGGTGGGGTGGGATAAGGGGTTTAGGTTGCAGGGAAAGGAGGGGTCTCGGGGAAAGAAGATGGTTATGGTTTTTTTTTAAATTTATTATTATTATTTATTTTTAATTTTTCTTTAATTAATTATTTTTAAATGAATAAAAAATTATTTTTTTGCCACGTGACACAAATTTGGCAGTCACGTCAGCTCTTAACTGATCAATAAATGAAAAATGTAATGGAGATACTATATTGAAATAAAATAGTAGGTGAGGTATGAAAGTGAAATGTTTTGAAGATGTTGTATGCGATTGTAATAGATTCCAAACCTGAGGTGGTACAATGTAATAAACACACATTATGGAAACTGAAATGTTGTATGCGATTGTAATAGATTCCAAACCTGAGGTGGTACAATGTAATAAACATACGTTATGGAAACTGAGATATGTGTATTCCGTAATAGGATGCTAATATTATCCATTGATAATATATGTACACCTACTTATTTATGAGCGGGTCCATACAGAGTTCGTACCCACACGGTTAGACAAACTGATAGAAGTTCTTCAATTGGCTCCAAAGACTCCAATCCATATACAAAATTTCTAGAATGCTGGGATCTTCATACATATGTTTCCTACTCCCCACAATATCCAAATTGAAGAAGTCTCTTCTTTTACAATAATAGATTTCATTTCATCAAAAGCATTACAAAAACCAATCCATCTCTAAGCATACATGCATACACTTTCCTCAACAAGTATGTCAGTGACAATACTAAGCGGGGCATCAATCTATTCACACTTTTGCTTCTGAGAAAGGCCAATTTTTGCAAGACAATGCGCGCAGTATGAAATATATCAACAATAGACTCTGCTAGACTACTTCATGTTGTATGAAATATATAATATTGATTTCAGGGTCTAAACACTTAGGTGTCGTTTGGTGACTAGAATTAGAACTTATGGTATCTGGATTTGAAACCTCATGAATTCATGGCATATTTTAAGATACACATAAAAGATTTTTTTTTTTTCATTTGAAGGGATTAGATATGGAGAAAACTTATCTAATTAATTCTCCAATTTTGGAAGGCATTGGCATGCATAAGTTTTCTGAATGAGTAATTATCCGTCTACATTCATGTAAGATGCAATTTTTTCATTTACTCCTTCAAGATATTTTAAATATGGAAGTTATTCATTTTAATTCAATCCTAGATACCAAACAAAACCTTAGTTTCATTTTATCTAACGAATAAGCTAGTTTTGGTCTAATGAATTTCTCTTCTCATCAATGTTGATTTACCTCTAATTAGTTCCATATGTCTAGTTACAGTTAGATCAGTGAATACACCATCTGCTTAATCAATATTGTCATCCAGATCACCATCTGCTTAATTAATATTGTATCGATAAAAAATTTATGCAAATTATAAATTTGAGAAAATAACCGCTGGGACAGTCAAATAAAGTAAGGCATTTTGAAATTTGGAAAAGTGTCTTAATCAAACTGTGATAACCTTTACACAAAGAAAAGTATACCAAAATCCCTATGTTTATTATGCATGCATGGAAGAAATTGGTAAACCTCATTACTGTATGTTATCCATAAGCATGCATACCCTAATTGTATGGAAACAAATTTCTGCAAATTATAGATTTGGGCACATAATCAGTGGGACAGTCAAATAAAGTAGGGCGTTTTTTTAACTTTGGAAAAGTGTCTTAATCAGACTGTGATAACCTTTATTCAAGGACATGTTAATTAAGCAGATGGTGTATTCGCTGATCGAATTGACAATCATTGCTTCATGATTCCATTTTTCTTCCCCAGACCCATTCTTTTCTTGCTGAATTTATTACTATATTAAGTCATCAATAGAGTTACCATATATGGCGGTACTGGTAGGGATACTAAATTTGGGACTTGGATTGTCTGCCCTTCCCATCCCGTGCCCTTCTCATGCCCTCCTATTTATGTGGTCACGGTTAAGCCACGTCAACATTTTATATTCTAATTATTTTTTGTTTTATTATTTCTACAAAAAAATCAATATAAAATGTTAACGTGGCTTAACCGTGACCACATAATATAGGAGGGCATGGGGAGGGCACCGGATGGGGAGGGCAGACAATCCAAGTCCTTAAATTTGTAGACTAATTTTGTAAACTAAATAACATAGAAGTTGAAATTGAAATAATACTTAAGCGTTAATAAACGTGTTCATTCCTATTGATGACACATTATTTAGTTTGTAAACTTTGTTTACAAATTTAGTCTCCCTAATATTACCCATATTTTGCCCCTGGACTTTTGAAATAGAATAACGCTAGAGAAATTAAATTTGTAGAGACAAAATTTTGTAAACTAAATAACATAAAAATTGATGATTAACGTGCTTATTTTTTATTAGTGATACATTATTTAATTTGTTAATTTAATGTACAAATTGTCCTAACATTACTCTTTGAAATATATACAAAACTTTGATTAAAATAATTGCGCGCGCCCTCCACGGGGAAAGTTTGAAAATTCTTCAACTTACAAGCATTACGTAGAAAAGTTCCTGATTGCTAATAGGCCCACATCAGCTTAATTGTCTGAAAATATCAACATATGAATATTCAAAGAACGATCATTCTGGTCATTTGCTTATAGTATGCACAAAATACATGTCTCTTAGATCCCTGAAATCTCACCTACTACTCTCTCTATAAAAGGGTAGAGTATTAGCCTCATAGAAGCCATCTCATCTCCCAACATAAGAGCTAGTATAACTATAGATAGCAACCTCGCAATTTTGAGTTTCCTAATTAATCATCATGTCTTTATTTTCAATTGCAGCAGCAATATTTGTTCTTGTTACTGCTACGATATTGGGAAATTCCAACGCTCAACTGAGCTCAACTTTCTACAGCACCACATGCCCGAATGTGACGAGCATTGTTCGTGGTGTGGTCGAGCAAGCTCAACAGAATGACATCCGAATTGGTGCCAAACTCATCCGAGTTCATTTCCACGACTGCTTTGTCAACGTATGTAATTCATTAAAGAATATGTTATATAGTGTTAAAAATATCATCCAATAACATATAATGTGATATATATTTTACAAAAAATTCTATGTGCATGAGCATCCGCTTTTTATAAATGATGGATTTTGTATCGATAATGTTAATAATGGATTGCTAGGACGTCAAAAAGTTTTTCCATTGATATGTCGTTAACCAATATATGGACAACCCGGCTATTAATAACGGACTCTCTGTCAAAACAAGAATAGTGTTTTTATGTGCTATAATAATTAAATTTAATATAATGGTAACGGTGCATGCATGCAGGGTTGTGATGGATCGATTATGCTGGACAACACAGATGGGATAGAGAGCGAGAAAGATGCACCTCCCAATCAATCGACAGACGGGTACGACGTTGTAGATGATATCAAAACTGCGGTCGAGAATGTTTGCCCTGGTGTTGTCTCCTGTTCTGACATTTTAGCAATTGCTTCTCAAATTCTTGTTTCTGCGGTACGTACCTATTAAAAGTTCTAATTACTTTAATTAATTAATTCGCGTTACGTTATTTAATAAAATTTAAAAAATAAAAACTGATATTTAAGAGGAGGACCAAGCCCTGAAAGAAATTGGGAAATGGTCAATATTCCATCTGAGAACCAGTCCCAAGGAAAATAAAAAAGAAAGCGAATGGCGGTGAAGAGACAATCTGATTAATGAACAATTCTTGGAAATTTGGAGCATATATATTTAAGCAGTTCCTGATATATTATTGTCCAAATAGTTCCTCAAATAATACTTCTATTGGTATTGTTGCAGAATGGAGGGCCAACGTGGGAAGCTCAATTGGGAAGAAGAGACAGTAGGACAGCCAACCGAGCTGGTACCAGTGCCATTCCAAGCTTTCTCGAAAACCTTGAGCAAATTTCACAAAAATTTCGCGATGCAGGATTAGATTCCACTGATCTGGTTGCTTTATCAGGTAACCCTAGTAATAGACACGCAATTGACCAGAATAATAGTACAACTAATTACCAGATTAACCTAGTAGTATACACCAATTAATAAGTCAACCTCTAATTATTTTGAAAGATTTAAATGTAGTTGTTTCCTTTCTTAGGTGCTCATACATTTGGACGGGCAAGATGTTCAACTTTCGTTCACCGCCTCTACAATTTCAGCGGCACTGGCAACCCGGACCCGACCATTGAAGCCGGATACTTGGAAACCCTCCGCCAAGCATGTCCTCAAAACGGCAGCGGAGATACGTTGAATGACCTTGACCAGTCCACCCGCGATGCCTTCGACAACCACTACTTTACAAATCTCCAAAACAACCGCGGGCTTCTCCAGACCGATCAGGTGCTGTTCTCAACTAGCGGAGACACCGTTGCCATTGTGGACCGCTTTGCAAATAGCCAAAGTGACTTCTTTGATAGCTTTGGTCAGTCCATGATCAATATGGGGAATATAGGAGTTTTGACGGGCACCAATGGAGAGATTAGGACTGATTGCAGAAGGGTTAATTAATTGAAAATTCGTCATTAGTATTTTGAAAAAAATGATTAAGATTATGCATGTGCCCTAAATATATAAGGGCACTCCGTTAGCCTGAGGCTTAAGTATTTTGTCATTTTATAGGCAGCCTATTTCTTTTCCTCGCATTTCTCTTACTTCTGTTGGTCCATGTTGTCAAATGTTGATATACAATAAAAAAAACAAGTTATACCTATATTATTTTCTAGCACCAGCCTTATTTTTCATCGTGGTCAAGTTTTTTATGCTATACATATGTTAAACTTGTATATAATTAAATCAAATAAAGCACAACCTACAGAATACTCGAAGAGTAGCCATTAATCTTAAGCACGATTGTTTAAACCTCAAGAAAACCTCTGCACCGCCATATATTCCTAATGCGACGACTTAATGAGAAGTAGAGAAATGTAAGACCTCTTATATTTGTTAAGATAGCTGAAGAAGAATAAGATAGAAACGAGAGAGAACAATTTGTTTGTTATTTAATCGTTAGGTGACCAAGAAAATTACAAAAATTAACTATCAATCTGTCAGGAGATCAGTGACTCGAACCAAACTCGTCGTTGATTTAACGTAAGACCCACCTGCGCCAATCTGTGAGCAACCTTGTTTGTGTCTCTACGAGTATGATTTTCTGCTAACATCGGAGATGATATGCCTTCCATTTTCATTGCCATCGCCGCCACAAACGGCCCCATGTCATCTCTGAATACCACTCCAATTCCCCCCTTTTTCCCCTGTTCCTTCCAAGCCCCATCAAAGTTACATTTTAACCGCCCTGCTTCTGGTTTTTCCATCTGTCCACAACCGCAGTCTGTCTGTTACTCCTTATTTTTTTACCATGCCACTTACCACATCCATATTTAGGGTTAATCCATTAGTGTAACACCTCACCCCCATTTTATTTTAAAAATGGTTTTTAATTCTTAATTGGTGAGCCCAAGGGGCCCACCCTTTGATTTTTGTTCCCCTCTACCCGGACCCCCCCCTCTTTTTTCTCTCTTTTTCTTCCCTCTCTTTCCCGTCACTTTCCCTCACTTTCTCTATCTCTCTTCTTCTCCTTCACCGTGCCACACCCCTAACCCATATACTAAATCATCATCAAATCACAATTTCGACATCACCATCGTCTTTATCTCGTCTCTACTAACTCAACCATAGTTTTGGTATCTTGGAAGTCGAACCACGAAGCCCCGTACACGAGCTCCGGCGAGCACCGCCCCTTTCGAGGCCATTTCCGGCCAAATCACGATGAGTTGGCCGGCGTGTAAGGTATCAATCTCTTCGTCTTCCTGAGTACTACAACTTTCCTTTTTGTTTCACCCAATTTCATTGAGTATTGAAGAAGTTATACTCATTTGAATCTTACCCAGTTTCCTGCGAGTCCGACGGCTTTCGAGGCATTTTCCGGACAAATCACTGCGCTTTAGATGTCGTGTGAGGTATCATTCTCTTCGTCTCTTCCAGGGCTACAACTTTCATTTTTGTTTCGCTTGATTTCGTTGAGTAGTGACAAAGTTATGGCCGTTTAAAGTAGGTGTGAATTTCCGGCCGAATTCCGGCCTTCTTCATCCTTGGGTCCGGCGACCCACCAAAACCCAAGCCCTTTGGGCTTTTCTGCCGAGCCCAACCCATGACCCTTTTTAGTTTAGGCCTTCGGGCCTTGGAAGAATTAGGGCCCTTTGGGCCGTTTCTGTTAAGGGCTTAAGCCCAACCCCTAAACCATTGGGCTTTAGGACCAAGCCCAAGAACCCTAGAACCCAAACCCGGATCCAAAGCCTGACCCGTTTGACCTGGTCCGACCCTGACCCTGACCCGTTGACTGACCGTTGACCGTTGACCCGGTCAACGTTGACCGTTCACTTTGACTGGTCAACGTTTACCGTTGACTTTGACCTTTCGGGTTTTCGTCCAATACCTTCCTAGGCTAATTTCGACATCCTGGACCCGTTTCTGAAGTCTGTTTTCCCAAATTAAATCGTTTGAGTAGAGTTTGACTAAATGTACCCTTTATGTGCTTGGGGGCAATTAATGGTGACGTTTCCGTCTTCGCTAGTGGCGCAGCATTTGGCGGCTAAGTACTGACATAGAATCAAGATATACAATCCCGGCATTCAAGCACTTCCGCATCGGCATCTTCGAGTCTTCTTGGTGTAGGACTTATTCTTTTATTCATTCAATTTTATATTATTTCTGTTAGTATTCTAGTTAGTCGTATGCTCTGAACACGTTCCTTAAATGCATATTCTTTATTCTTTTGTATTTATAAGTCTTATATATCCCTTGTTTTCAGCATTTGCACTTAATAAATGGCTTTCGTCACCTTCGGGTGTCGGCCAGCACGTGACCAACCCTTTGTCCCTAGGACATCGGGTCGGGACGTGTCAATTAGGATTCCTTTATCCCTAGTTAATCTAATATTAATTAACCAGTTAGGAAGCGACCGGCCTTAGCTTAATTGAATCCCTAAATCTTAACTAAAAAAACTTACAATCCTACAATAATTATAAAACTATGTTACAATATGTGGAATGATTATAGTAAATGATTGTATTAATACCATGCAACAACTTTTGCAACTGCAATTATATGGACCAACTAGTACTATTTCTCAATTAATGGAGAAATTACTATATTGTTAAAGTCCCACATCGGTGGGTTTAATGAAACTCAATGGGTTTAAATTGGATTACCTTACTCTAACTAATACCGATGCCTTTTATGGTAAAACCCCACACCTGAAGGATTGGGCATGTGGTAAAGTTGGGGACAATATCGGTGTCATTAGAGTAGGGTGAGCCTAGAGATCCAAAAATCCAACATGGTATCAAAGCCCACGGTTTCGGGCCTATGCAAGCCAATGAGCTTGTCACCAAGAAGGAAACAAGTCTGAACTCTTAACATAGAGATGACCATTGAGTTCCATTGAAAACAAGTGGGCCCAACGGGAGCCAACCTTTGAGTTTCAATTACTGATGTGGACCTCCACATGTAAACCACTAAATGAGGTTACACGTGAGGCGGAGTAGGTGGGTTGAAAGAAACCCAATGGGTTTAAATAGGATTACTCTACTCTAACTCATACTGAGACCTTTTGTGATAGAACTCCATACCTGACGGATTGGGCAAGTGGTAAAGTTTGGGACAATATCGGTGTCGTTAGAGTGGGACGGGCCCGGCAATCCAAAAATCCAACATATATATCAAGCTAAATTGCCCCGGCCCTAGTGGCGCCTTCATCTCTCCCACTCCTCTTCCTCCTCCATGAAAATTCTCCACTCCGTCAGCTAAGCTTTGATGTCCATTGCTCTTCCCCTCCATCCCCCACTTGCTCGCCTTCCGCTCACCCATACTCGCCATCCCGCCACTAAATCTGAAATTATACTCCCGCTTTGTCCAGTCATATGCTCAAACGCTTATCCGTATGCCAAAACTTCCCTTTGATGCAGATCTCTCCGCAATGTGCCCCCTCGTTCTTAGCTCTCTCAGCCACACTTTGGTACGTAGGGTGCAGATTCATGGATTGACGAAATTAGGATCTCAAGATAGTATTATACTCACTTGGTCTATTGAATATGTGCGTGATAAATGTCCCATTTTCGTATGAGCTCTCTTTTCATTGAATTTTGGCTTGTATCTACGATGGTGACGTTTTCTGCACCAACAAAAGGTGGTGCCAGCTCTATGGGTACAGTTTGATGCTAGGGTTTGAAGTATTATGGATTGCTTCTACTTTTTGGGCTTCAGTTAGGTTTTGGGCTGATGTTTGTTTGCTTTTAGCCATTCGTGGAGCTTTTTTGGTTGTTAAATGAAATGCGCTCTCATTATTAAAAAGAGAGAAAAAAAGACTTGAGATAAGTTTATTTTAAGAAAAATCACCCTTTAACTTTATTTAATATAAAGAACTTAAAATTTAATAAAAAAGGCAAAATACAATATGATATGGATAAAAGCTAAAACCTCATTAATAACACGGGCAACACTAATTTTTCTTTTTTCCAGCCAATGCCTCTGATAGAAGTCTCATTCCATTAGTCCATTCCATCAAAAAGTTAAAATTTATATTAGGTTTTGAGCTACTTGAAATTTGTCAGGGCCACACTCCCATTAAATATTTGTTTGGTTGTGTCCATGTATTATGTCTGTCACATTTGTTTTCTTTTTCATGTAGATCAAATGCGTCAAATCACTTTTATTTTTTATCTTTTATCTGGGTTTGGGCGTCCATGCCCTCACCCTTTTATCTCCTTTTGTATTTCCCTTATCAATGCAATTGTTAATCCTGACCAATATATATATATATATATATATATATATATATAGGGAACAATATTAAGACTAATTCATAAACCCCATAATATATTATCCAAAGGGGACATGTCAATGAGATGCAAGACTTGACTTGTGAAATCGATGCATGCTCAACCTATCACAAGAATGCCAATTATTTACCAACAAGATGATATTATCAGGGAAATAAGTTAAGTAGTTGTGAAGAGTAAAGAATAATTTAAAACTCGTTAATGCTCTTCAAAATCCATATCTAAATACAACGTACTAAACATTTTGGCTCATAAGACTGAAAATCTCCTAGTTTTAAAACTCATTATTTTGGTTCAGTTTTAAAATAGGTATAATTTTGTTGCAGTCTTAAAAATATTGTGTGTTATTTTGTTCAGTATCAGAAATTGTGTTGGTTATTTTGGCTTAGTTTCAAAATAATGTATGTTATTTTGCTATAATTCCAAAACTAATGTTTATTTTGTTTCCTTCCAGAAATCATGTAGATTATTTTGGTTTAATTTTCAAAAATAGTGTGGGCTATTTTGTTATAATTCCAAAAATAATGTGTGGCTATTTGTGTTCAGTTTCAGAAATAGTGTGAGTTATTTTGTTGTAGTTCTAGAAATAATGTAGGTTATTTTGCTGTAGTTCCAAAAATAGTGTGGTTATTTTGTTATAGTTTCATAAATAGTGTGGTTATATTGCTATAGTTTCAGAAATAGTGTGGGCTATTTTGGTTCTGAAAAATAGTGTGAGTAATTTTTTTGTAGTTTCATAAATAGTGTGAATTATTTTAGTTCAGTTTCAGAAATAGTGTGGTTATATTGCTATAGTTTCAGAAATAGTGTGGGTTATTTTGGTTCTGAAAAATAGTGTGAGTAATTTTTTTGTAGTTTCATAAATAGTGTGGATTATTTTGGTTCAGTTTTAGAAATAGTGTGAGTTATTTTTGCAGTAGTTCCATGAATAGTGTAGTTATTGTGGTTCAGTTTTAGAAATAGTGTTGTTATTTTGATTTAGTTTCAGAAATAGTGTGGTTGTTTGGCTATAGTTTCAAAAATAGTGTGGATTATATTGGTTTAGTTTAAAAAATAATGTGGTTATTTTGCTATAATTCAAAAAATAGTGTTTATTTTGTTCTATTACAGAAATCATGTGTGTTATTTTGGTTTAGTTTTCAAAAGTGGTTACAATCAATAATACCAAATTACAGTAGCAATACGTTATCTAATAGGTAATGTTAGGGATACCAAATTTTTAAATCAAATTTGCAAACTAAATTATATGTCATCAATAAGAAAGAAACACGTTATGAAAGAAAACTTAATGACGTGTTGCTACTAAAATATAGAAACCTTTGATTGAATATCCAATTAAATAAAAAATATCAAACAAATGATAATTAGCTTTATTTTTTTTCCAAGTGATTTCATTTAAGTTTCATATGCATTGAAGATGTGTTAAAAATATTAGGACTGATTTCAGGGGGGGTATTAAATGAAAATTACATTAGTATTTTGAAGGTTGATTTAAAAGATCCGTTGGTAGCTATTTATTAGCTGGCTTTCAACCATTTTTCAAGTGTATAAGTCATTCACAACTATTGTGTATGATTAAACGTGAACATAACCTATTTTGCATGATTAATAAACCTACTCCGCGCACCCTTGCAACGTTTGAGAAGAAAGTAATGTCAAAGTTAAGAGATATATCACCATTTAATGTCCTAATTTTCATTTAGGGTTAGTCACACTCATACCTCATCATTCTTCACCCAAAGACAGCTAGCTCAGAAAATTGAGATAACCCTAAATAATATTAGGAGTCTATAAATAGACTCTGAAGTTCAGTCATAAACATATAAGTCTGAGATAAAAATTTGATCAGATGAAGATCACTTCGATTATAGCATTTTTCTGTCTTTTTCCTTTTGTAGCGGCTGATCTTAGGGTTGGCTTTTACATTTCTACCTGCCCCCAAGCCGAGTCCATCATAAATGAACTTGTTCATATACGGTTTGAAATTGATTTGTCTATCAGTGGGGCCTTGCTCACTGAATATTTGGCAAACCAAATCGTTAATTTGCTAACTTTTTCAACCAGTTAAGCACAAATTCTAATCCTTTAAGTTAGAATTGTCAAAGGGTCAAGCTGGCCTAGCATGACAACAACACAACCTATTAAAATAAGTCACAGTACTACTTGGAAACTCTCCGAAATAACATTAATTACGAGTCTATGAATACTGCTCTAAAGTTTAGTCCAAAACATAAAAGTCTAAGACAAAATTTTGATTAGATGAAGATTACTTCGATCGTAGCTTTTTTCTTTGTTTTCCTTTTTGCATTTATTGATCTTAGGGTTAGCTTCAATAATTCTACATGCCCCCATTTGAGTGTATAATACGTGAAATTGTTCAGAAATGGTTTGAAATCGATTCATCTACCACTTGGGCCTTACTCACTGAATAACTGACAAACCAATTTCTTAATTTGCTAACTTTTCCAACAAGGTAATTAAGCACATTTAAGTTAGAGTTGTCAAATATCAGACTGATCTAGCATGACACAAGCACGACCTATTTAAATAAGTCGCAGCAGCGCGGTTCGACCATTAACGTTGGATATACTTGGAAACCCTCATCAAATGGACTAAAATGACTACAGTATGAAAAAACACTCAGTGAGCTATATATAATTAGTGAGGAAGTAAAAATAGACCAAAATGACAAGGTACCTAAACCTCATGCTAACACAGTACCCTCATTTAGGGCAATTGGTAACCTATTAGTAGACTGATTGACTAGTTGACTCTTTTGCAATCAGCCCTAATCTCTCCAGCGCTTCCTGTCAAAGGTCTTATATTCCCCAATTTGATCATGGACTGTGCAAAAGTATCAAAGAAATCGCTTTGGTTATTAGCAAAGCGGTTCACAATGGAAACAGTGTCTATGCTACTTGTTGAGAACAACTCCTGATCGGTCTGGAGGAGCCCGCGGTTGTTTTGGAGATTTTTGTAGTAGTAATTGTCGAAGACATCAATGGTAGTGAGCTTATCCACTATTAATTTTCTGATTTTATAGAGGTCGCACTTGGTGCGATGGCAAGTGCCTTCGCCCATGAGCGGTAGGTCTCGGGTTCGAGACTTGGGAGCAGCCTCTCCATAAATGGGGGTAAGGCTAGCCGACATTCACCTCTCCCAGACCCTGCGTAAAGCGGGAGCCTTGTGCACTGGGTACGACCTTTTAATTGTCGAAGGCATCAGGAGTTGCTTGGTCAAGGTTGGTCAAGGTACTTGGTTTGCCACCTTGACTACATGTTTGGCGTAGGGTTTTCATGTACTCGACATCAATGGTCGGGTCCGGTTTGCTGGTGCCACTGAAATTGTAGAGGCGATCGACGAAAAATCTACATTTTGCCCGGCCAAATGTATGGGCACCTAAGAAAGCAAACAACCACATTTATACCTTTGAAAATAATTAACCTATTATTGACATGATGAAAACTGAGAGAGACGCTACTAGAACTTTGGGCATCAGGCACTCTTTTTCTCGGAAGAGGATCTTCTCCGGATCCTCTTCGTGAGAATCCTAGAGATGCTCACATCCTAACCGTTTATCGTACATCGTGGGGCCAGTTTTTGTCAAATATTATTTGTGTTTAATTTTAAATAAAAAATTTAAATAATTTATGACCACATAATATACGATGAATAACTAAGATGTGAAGATCTCTAAAATCTTCACCATTTGAATCCAGATGGAATCCAAATCCCTTTTTCTCGGCACAGTTGCATCTGGTGCCCCTTGCTCAATATGACCCACAGTTTGTTAATTAAGGGTGCCAACTTCCATGTAAACAAGTTGGCACTTCCCAAATCAGCCCCAAAAAAAGGAAAATGGTACTCTAGTTATTTTTTTGTTATTATACTTTTCTTCATCGTCTTGAAATGATGGTAATACTCATCATTCTATTTATTATTATTAGATGAATATGAATTTTGAGATCTATGTAATGAATAGACATAAATCTCAAAATTTAAACTCATCCAATGATAAATAGGGTGATGAGCATTACTACTATTTGAGGGTGATGAGTAAAAATACACCCCTCTTGTTAACCCACCCACACCACAATACATTTTTTGATCTGTCCAGAATACGGGGCAATACACCATACACTAGAAGAAGAAAAAATTCCTCCACTTATATAATAACATATATATAATGCACTGTCATGTATCCCCGAGCACACTGTACAATATTTACTTACTATCTCTCTAATAAATACGGAACTCACTTATATGTTGTGATCAGCAATAAGGGTAGTAAATAATATGGTCTAAATAGCAGCATAAGCTTGACACAGTACTTATGCATATACGAAATTGCTAGGTTATTCATTTGGTATTTTTGTATTGTATTGTCCAACAAAAATTGTAATAATGTCATTGTGGTCAAATGTATGTACCTGATAACGCAACCAGATCAGTGGAATCTAATCCTTTGTTGCGGAATTTTTCAGTAATTAGCTTAAGGTTATCCTGAGGGGTTGGAATGTCACGATCGGCACCAGTTCGGTTTGCTGTCCTACTGTCTCTCCTTCCCAATTGAACTTCCCACGTTGGTCCTCCATTCTTTAACAATATTTAATAAAAGCATTAGAATAATGTTATTTGAACCATTTTTACTAGCCAATACGTTAGATCTCTTCTATGACACACACACACACATATATATATAAATGGCGGATTGGTGGCATCGTTTTTGAAGAAAGATTTAAAAAATAAACGGTTCGAATTGTTGAAGTACATTATAAAATTGGCCCATAAAAACTTGTGTCAAAAGTTGTGTAAAAAAAATAATGTCACGGATCTATCCCCGTATATGTGTATATATACATGAAATCACTTATATTAAGGAGGTGGTTAGTAAAGTGATCGAATAGCAGCAATTACGGTGGAACAGAGAAGGAGATGAAGCTTTGGAAAAATGAAAGCTTGAATTGATATCTTCTAAGTTGAACTAACTACCGAAAATGAGAAAGCTTTACAATTTATACAAGCCTACAAAGTAACTAACTCTAACCTTCTAACAAACTCTTCCTAAACTAATCTCCACCATTCAATTATAAATCAATCTCCACCATACATTTGTTATAATTAGATAGATTAACTTGATCGACGACCGTTCGTAGAATCGTACTGATTTTTAATTTCTATTCGTATTCATTTCCAATCTCTTAAGACTTGTTCCTCCTCATGCACTTCAAATCTTATAAATAACATACTGGGAATTAATTTATTAAATTAAAAATAATAATTAGGATAATAAGATGCGATGGTTAAAGGTCTTATAAGTATATGTAGGTTATCAGAGCTTTATCTAAAGGATTCTTATTTTTGATAAAAATAGGACTACTAGAACCCATTATACATCAAGCTTTAACGGTCTAAACTATCTATTTTTTAAGTTTTCATTCATAGATCATTATTGCAAAAAATAAATTCAATCTGAAGTTATTTACTCTTTTGATTGTTATGATAAAATTTCAATATTTCTTAAAACATAGTGTTCGTCAATTTCTTGAAACTCATTTAGATGTCTCAAACATTTCCAATTTGGCTAATATTTTGTAAGATGTTTTATAATGTGCAACTTGAAAAACACACAATTCAAATCGTTGAAGTTCAATGTAAAGTTGACTCCACAACTAGTCTATATTTACCGAAAAAATGAAGATCCCATTAGATAAGAGCCTGTGTATGTTATAGGGGTGTGCTATCCACACACCCCTTTTTACTTCTCACACACCTCTTGTTAATTTATGTTCGTTGATCTTCTTTATTTCATCCGATCTGACGGCCGAAAATTAGAAGGGTGTGTGAGAAGTAAAAAGGGGTGTGTGGATATCACACCCCATGTTATATAGTACGTACCTCAGAAACCAGTATTTGAGAAACAAGTGCCAAAATGTCAGCACAGGAAACGACACCAGGGAAAAAATTCTCGAGTGCAGTTTTGATACCAGCAACGATGTCGTATCCTTCCGCCCCTTTATTGCGAATTGCATCTTTCTCACTCTCTATCCCATCTGCGTTGTCCAGCAAAATCGATCCATCACATCCCTGCATGCATGCATCGTTAACTACTAAATTAATTTAAGCAATGTTGCACATAAAAAAGGTCTCGTTATGTTGTATTAAATGATATTTTAGAGTACAAATAACAATTTTTTTTAATTAATTACATACATTTACAAAGCAGTCGTGGAAATGGAGCCGGATAAGTTTGGCACCAACCCGAGTATCATTACGTTGGGCTTGCTCCACCACACCACGAATAATGCTTGTCACGTTCGGGCATGTAGTATCGTAGAAAGTTGAGCTTAATTGAGTGGAATTTCCTAACACACTGGTAGTAACAAGAACAAATATTGTTGCTACAATTGAAAAGGAATGCATGATGCGTGATTCATTTTTCTTTTTGATCATGGTGAAGCTTCAATAAACCTCCAAAGAGGGAAGGAATCCAAGAACAGGAAACAAATAGAAAATAATCAAAGGTGGTGTCGAACGTACACAAGAAGGATGCAAAGTCAGGCAGAGAAAAGGAGACTAATTAAGCCCCCTTTAGCTCCAGAAAGGTTTTAGAATAATAAAACTAGGAGGTTGTTATATATAGTTGTTGTAATTTGAAAGGTATATAATTCTTTTAATTTGAAATTTCAGTTTGGTTTTGTTTTAATTTGATGTTTAACTGATATAATTTATTTACACATAATATTTTGAGGATTATGAGAGTTTCAATTTAGTCTGTGGGGGTTACTAACGTCCCTTTTTTTTTTTTTCATTCACGAAGGTTACTAAATTACTAAAATACTTTATGAGAGGAGGTTATTCCTGGTTGATTAAGAAGACACTCCTTCGCAACGGACTTTGAGCTTGTTTATGGATTCGTATGTTCAAGTCTTGTAAGTTGTCAGTGTACGTACTTGCACATAGGGACGCTGCAACGGCTTCAGGACAACATCTTTGACGTGCATATCACACAAGGGTTGCTCTCTTAGATTAGGACCAGGGAAGGAAGCAGGTTAGGGTAGAGAGCTTGAAGTATATGACTCGATGAATCGTCTTTTTTTTTTTTTTTTTGTTAAACAAACGATAGTATCTATATTAAGAAGAGTGGGAGAATGGGCTAAGTCTCACACTAAGTCAACCATAATATGTGGTTCAATTTTGTCATTGACGAGAATCAAACCTAAGATTTCTCACTTACAAGTGAAAATGAATACCATTAGACCAAGTGGCATGAACAAAGTTCTAAAAAACACTAGGCGCTAGTCGGGTGGTGGGCTGACGTGGGGCCTAGGCGGGATCTAGGCGGGCGTTTAGGCAGATTTAGGTAAATTTCTTATATATATTTTATGAATTAATTAAATTTGTTATATCAAATGTAAATAATTATTGACTAATATGTTATTTCTTATAGAAGAACATACATATGTGAATGTTTTATGTACATATATAATATGCTTGCCTAGGAAAAAAAACAAAATATTATCTAAATAATTTATAATTTATATAACTTATATATATATATATATATATATGTATATTTATAAACTATATCCCAAACTTTTAAAAATATAAAAAGCCAACATGGTGGGTGGTTTTCATTATTAAAAGTTAAAACCATCAGCTGTCCACTTCACCTCTTTCACATCACCTGTCCATAGGTGGTTTTCATAATTAAACCCATCAGAGTCCATGGTTTTCATAATTGAAATGTTTAAGTCTCCCGTCCACCTTGGGTGGTTTTCATAATTGAAATGTTTAGGTCTCTCGCTCTCTTCACTTTCTTTTCCTTCATCTTCACAGAGACAAGTTGTAGAAATTCCTCAACAGTCTCTCTCTCTCTCCTCGCACTCTCTCTTCCCTAATCTTCATAAGGACGGGCTGCAGAAATTTGTCGGAGCTCTATTGCTATGTACGAGATCAAAAGTTGTATATCCGTTGCGAAAATTGCAGCCAGTTTGGGATTTGCAGCGAGATTCAAACCGCCTAGACTGCCGCCTAGCCCGCCTCAGGCGCCTAGCGAGCGCCTAGGCGGCTGCCTAAGTCCTCCCCGTCTAACTGAACGTTTTGGTCTAAATTGGGTCGGAGCTCCACCGCCCAGCGCGTAGGCCGATTTTTAGAATACTGGACATGACTTGATAAGTCTTTGCTATATGGATATCTCATATATACATATACACATACATATATATACACACACATACACACGTGTTGTACAGAGAATTACAAATTACAAGATATCATATTGCTACAATTAAGTACAAGTCTAAGATGCATAATGGCTACAAGTTTTAGTGAAGAATGGATTCTTGGGTTAAATTTGGGTAGAACAATATGATAATTCGGATGAATTACCTTAACTCTATATATGTGTGTTTATATATATATGAGTTTTGTTCTAGTGGTTAGAATCTTCATTTTTGATTCATTATGTATTGAGATCAAATCCTCTTAAGTATAAAGTAATCGATGCTCTATTTGAGGATGCTTCCAACTAAACTGTAATGGTTTTTTGCCATGTGAGGATGGCTAACTTTGAGTTGTTTAATTGTTGGGTGCGAGGCACTTTTATTCTTTTGATCAAGTTGAAAGTCCTGATAAAAAATTTATTGAGATCCATGCATACACTACTATCCTCCTATTATACGTTTATTTTCTTATCAATAAATATTGTATTTTTACTCAAAAAAATAAAAAAACACCTATATGATATATTTTAGACCCAAAGACAATATTCTCTCTCATTGAGATGAGAGAGCGGCCAAATTTGACCAAGAGCTAGTACCAGTAACCGAAGACAATTTTAAAACCTATGTAGCAACAATTTTACTTGGCTTAAATGTCACAATCGTTCTTGTGTTTTAATCCTATAGTTAATTTAACTTCCATATGTTAAATTTAACCGATTTAGTATTTGTATTTACACCGTTGGTCAATATAATTCATTTCTTTATCTTAGCGTTAAAAAATCATTTTAAAACATTAAAAACTCTATTTATTTAAAGAAATAGACTCCAATTAGAGAAATGATAAGATTTTTGCCAAACAAATAAAAGTTTAGATATAAAACAATCCAAAAATCATCATACCCATGAGGGGTACGGGGAAGGGGAGATCAGGGAAGTGGTGCAGATTGATGCTATGAAGATGACACAAATGGGGGATGATGATCAACGCGACGTCGTCCTGGGAACTGTTGGTTGAAATTTTACGAGAAGGAGTGTCGGTGATCGGTGATTGGAGTTGTTTTGGGTATGTTTGATGATGGCGGTGTTAGGGGGGTTTCAAATTTTGCTTTTATTTTTTAATTCTCTTATTTTCTTATCTTTTATTCTTATCTGTTAATCAATTCGAAACATATTTATAAATTCTTTTAACAGTAACTGGATGGAAAGTACTAAATTAACTGATAGAGTGAAACACAAAAACTAAATCGGTCAAATTAAAAACACGAGAACCAAATCAACCGAATAAATATAACACAAAGACCATTTCAATATTTAAGCCATTTCAATATGAGCGCATGCATGCCTTTGCTAACTTTACTACGAAATAAATTCAATACAATTATAATTTTAGTACTCCCTGCATCTTGCCCATGCATGCATTTCAAGATTCCAAAATATCCTTTCAACCAAGTATAAAATATTGATGATATCGGAAATATCGGTAGTCCAAAAACACGAAAATTTTGATGGAAATATCAGGATATTATCGATATCGATAAAAATTGAATAAAAACCACGGAAATTGTAAGAAAATTTTATTGAAACTTTGCAGGATGTTTATTTAGTCAATTATCTATTAGTTTATCACAAAAAAATTGGAAGTAAATGCATTGCATGATGGATTTTACTGATTTAAGTTGATTATATAGCGAGCTGGCAAACATTGTGAGTGTAGAAAATATGTAGTAATTAATGAAAGAAGTTTAAACACACCATAATCATTTATATATAATGAATTAGTACAATATTTTACACTTTATACATTGCATGGTAAGATACATGAGTGACTTAATACCACATAGAGTTCGTATGAGGTTCAAATTTTTCTGAGTAAAGTCAAGTCGACATAATGTTTGAAGATAAAGATATCAAATTTTTTGCTTTTAAAATTGTTTTTTAGTCTTAATAGGTGTGCCACGGGGCCCACCTTTGTTTGTTGTTCCCCGGGTGGTCCAAGCCTAACTCGTCTCTCTCTCTCTTTCTCTCTCTTCTCTTTCCCTCCCTCACACTCTCTTCCTTTTCCTCTTCTTCCCCGAGCCTCTGTGTTCTCTCATCTTCTCGTCGAACACACACACACACCCAGTCACCGCACACCCTTCGTAGTACTCCGTCAACGGCATCACCATCACCATCTAAACCTCGTCTTTCTCTCCCTTTCTGTTGGTGCAGCTAGGACAGTGGAACCCAGGAACTCTACGGCGAGTTCTCTTGATCCTTCTCCGGTTAGGTAAGCCCCGGGTTACCTCAATTCATCTTGGATGTTGTGTGGTTGAGATATACTAAGTTTTATCTCATTTTTTTAACAAGGTTTTAGAACGAGATCGACCCGGGGGAAGGCACACCCAGCTCTGGCGAGGCCGTGAGTGTCGAGGAACTTTCCAAACACCTCCGACCATTTCACGGCAAACGGAAGTTATAAAAACATTCCTCTCGTCTTGTGTTTCATTTTGATACCTAGATCAGAGTCTAGGGTGCTCTTTTACAGTCGGCCGGAGCTGCAGAAGCTCCGGCGTTCTTCTTCGATTCGCACCAGGCCTAAAATATCGCGATATTTTGACAATAATTCAGTGGATAAGTGTGAAAATATCGCTCTCTCACAAAAATCGCCGATAATATCGACATTTCAAACCATGCTTTCAACACATTAATGATTAACAAATTACTAAGATAATTCGATATAGAACCAATTCCCACTAGTTTAAAGTCGAGGCATATTCCTAAGATAATTCCATATAGAACCAATTCCTTTGAGAATTATTAAATTTAATCTTAAAAAATTTACGTATCAATTTAAGTTCATTGACTTTGATTCAATTAAGCAAATCCCTTTTTTGCGTGATGGTGAGTTTAGGAGCAATCAAATCACCTAAACTCAGGATAATTAAAATCATATGTGATGGTGAGTCGGTACCTAACTTTAAAGCTTTGCTTTGTGGATTATTATTTTTTAATACGCTATTACCCTTTGGGCTGATGTTAGCGTATTAAATGATTAAATGATTTTAATTATCCTGAGTTTAGGTAATTTGATTGCTCCTATGAATGATATTCTCTCCTTATTTGTCTAATTTCTGTACTATTCTTATGATGGAAGGAAGAAAAAGTAAGTTCATCAGAAACCCCTTTTCTTTTGGAGTCCGAAAAAGAGATTCCATTACTAAAAGGCAAAAACCCCAAGCCATACCACAAACAAAAATTTTAGGGTGCTATAGAGTATAGAATAAATATTCTGGTATTTTAACCGTTCGATCTTGATTTTTTTATATTTTTAAACAAAAATTTAATAGTTAAAACATGCAGAGCATCTCATACTTCGAAATATTGTAAAAAATCCCACAACAAATAGGCGAGGTCACATACGGACCAAACCAAGCCAACGACAAGACTATAACATGAAAAATGAGCAAAAGATGGAGAGACAGCATCTCCCAAGGATAAAGGCAAGAGGGAAAAGCTGGGAAGACCCATAAGAGCACCATGGTCAAGCTTTACCTCCCACCTAGCTGAGCCCTGAAGTTGTTAAAGCACTTATTATAAGACTTTGAAACCAGACCACGATGCAGGACAAAAGTCTAAAGTAAGTAGTGACTACTGTAGCCAGGTTAAATTTCACAAGATATTAATAAAGTAGCCAGGCTACAGTATAAATTTTTAGCCAGGTTAAATTTCTCGAGATATTAATAAAGTAGACAGGCTACAGTATAAATTTGTAGAGATGTTAATAAAAATGTTGTCCGCGCATTGCTGCGGAAACAGAAATTGTATGGAACATTACGTTTGAAAGATATAAAAGATTATGTCATAGAAGATTAATACTATTGACATTAAACAAATTAGGAAGATTTGTACATATGCAAAAAAATTAATCGATACAGTCCACATAAAAATTGTATAAACCTATCTATGTACAAAAGGGATTAGATCAACACATTCCACTTCAGTAGTTTCTTCAAAATGGACTTTCCCTTGAAACTAATCAATTAGAAACCAAACGGGTATCATGTAACCCTTTTTCATATATATTACCAAAATAGCCATATATTTATGCTGACAGTAGGTAATCTACGACATAGATAAATTATACTACAACATCAATTCGACAATCACGACATAAATAATTACCAAAGAGTAGAGGTCTGTGAATCGTTACCCAAGCTATTCAAATTGTAAGTTGACAAATGGAATCAGGCATATGCTTGTGTTTGATGATTTGGATCAACCTCTGTTCTGTCAGTCTCTTTCTCCTAATCCCAGTTGCGGACAGTGAAAACATGAAACATACTTTCTAGCTTTTTCTATGATGAGAAAATGAGACAAAGAACACTCTTTTAGTCAAGGAGTAGGGGGAGATAATGGAATGGTATGGAAGAGCTTCGATCCGACAAATACCCAATTGCATCACTCTCTCTCGCCCTTCCTCTTTCTGCTTCGTTTCGTACTTTTGTAGAGTCGGCAAAATTCTATAGATGGGTATGGACTAAAAGCCTTTTATTGATATGTGGATTGTGTGTTGTTTTTTGTCTTTGTAACACCAAGAGATCAAAAATCGAAACAAAGTGGATTATAAATCTTAAACTTTTGAGCTGATCCTTTATATTAAATTGAACGAAAAATTTATACAATTATAACTAGAAAAACTAAATTATAGTAAAAGCGAAAAATACATGAAAACGAAGAAGGTACTTGCAGCTTACAAGCCCGGTACTACCACACTGATGTCCCCCTCTAGCAGTCGACAAAAGAAATTGGGCATCAACCGAACAAAAAATTCATAAAGTGAGCCATATCTTGGTTGGAGGATTCAAAACTTCAAAATCACTATCTATCAATAAAAAAACTTATTTTCTCTATGAGAGTTATTAAGGTTTTAGCCAGAATGAACGTAGGATAAACAAAGGGTGATCGTAGGTTTTAATTATAGTGTTTGAGTTTATTGATAAATTTGAGTTTTATTATTAATTTCATTTTGTACTTAATAGTAATTATGCAATAAGGTAAAATAGACAATTAACATTTAAAATTTAAGTGAGGTGTAAAAAGAGGTTAAATGAGTTTAAATAAAATTTCTCTTTTTCTTTTGTTAGCATGATATTCTCTCCTTATTTGTCTAATTTCTATACTATTCTTATGATGGAAGGAAGAAAATGTAAGTTTGTTCATCAGAAACCCCTTTTTTCTATTGGAGTCCCAAAAAGAGATTTCATTACTAAGACCATCTCCAATCCTGACCTAAAACCTAAAAATATTTAGCCCAGAAAATTTAGGTTTTAGCCCAGAAACAGTTTTTGACACACCCCGTCCCGGAGGAGGGCATGCTGCCGTCACGTGAGAGTGACGTAACCATTTACACAGTTCGGAAGCGTTTAAAATACAATTGCTGAAAAGAAACCCCCGAAGGTGAGTCCTATTTTTAAATACTTCTATCAGAACACCGCTGAAATCCTCGAGGCCACCAAAACTCTGCTATCTTGAACCTGGAGGGGCGCAAAACAAAGATGAGTGGGTCAGCAAAACAAATCTTTTCGAAAATCATTTCGTTAACAAAGCGCTAACCCCTCGCTGTAAAACCTGTATATTTTCCCAGAAAATAGCATAATAGCATATTACTTTTCATAAATTTCAAAATATCAATTTTTCTCAAAAACCAGAAAGTATACCATGCCAAAATATATCTCAACAAAACTTATAAATAGCTCATAATCAATCTCATCAACAATCTAGCCAGAGTCGTCGCCAATGACCTGTACGGCACTACACTGCACACGAGTCGGAACCCCTAGAAAGGTCTGTACGACTGGGTGAATATAGTTTGCTCACGCTATCCTTCCCTGATAGCTATGCGATAATCGCTAGTCACCTACGAATCGGAACCACCTATAGTGGTCTGTACGATTTGGCGAGTCGGAACCACCTCTAGTGGTCTGTACGACTAGCACCTAAATTGGATCCAATTGTGAGCATATGGTGCGGGGGTGACTATATATATATAAACAGGCCTGAATCATCTCTATCATATCAAAATCACCCTGGTGCAGGTTTATGAGATTTCCATCATTTCAACTCAACAATTACATGATTAAATGCATGACCTTACCTGGCACTTACCTGTGCGTCCGCAGCACCAATTCATGCATGTATGCAACTACTAATGCATAAATAATTAGGCATATATTTTGCATGGCATTTCATATCTCATTTAACTTAAATTGATTTCCTGGGAAAAATCTCATTTATATAGATATATATAAAGAAATCAAAACTGCCCACTCACCTGGAGTTCACCCTACAACTCCCTAGCACAATGCGTCAAGGCGTCATAACGATCGGCGCCTAAAACAATAACCAAATCCAACCTCAGCATTCATATCGATAGAATAAATAACTTATATAAAATACGTCACTACGTAGTTCGATCCGGAAGATCTGCAACTCAGATTTCAAATCCATAACTTCCAGAGGTCCACAATATATCTCTAGGACAATGTCCTAAAATTTCATTACCATCCAACGGTCGGATCTCCGTCAATTTCCAAAACTAAGTGACGGTTAACATTTTATATTATGGACTTACAACTCCAATTCCGGAAGATCCGTAAATCGGATTCCCAATCCGTAAGTTCCAATAATCCTCAAATATTACGTATTACAACGCATCAAAGTTTGGTGACGATCCAACGGTCGGATCGTCAATTCATATTTTCGCCTAAATGCGAAAACTATAAAACATTATTTAAAGCACCTAACCAACAATTCTTAAACTTCTCATACGGTGCTCAATTTGGGTATATGAATATACCACAGTGACCTACTCAACCTTAGGATCATCACCATATTTTTAAAATAATTTTTGGACTGTTCACGCGCCCCCATGCGCCGGAATAGGCACGGGTCTACGCGCCCCCACGCGCGGCCACGTGCGATGCACACTGATGGCACAGTAACGGCAGTTAGAGAATATTCCGTTAAATCCTAGTATATTCCGTTAGATAATTAACGGCGTCAGTCAACGCCGTTAGCATATTCCGTCAAAACTGACGGAATATTCCCTGTCTTCTCCGGCGAGTCGCCGATCGCCGGCGACTGTTCACCGGTTTCTGGGAAATTTTCCAAACATGGTTTCTCACTCGTTTTTCATCCAATTTTCACGAAATTTATGTCAAAATGAAGCTCTTAACTTGTAGAACACGTTCATACTAATTTAAAGTTCTAAAAATCACGGGATCTCACCGGAGAATTTTGAGAAAAACCGGCCAAATGTCAACCTCTCGATCCCGACGTCCAATTCGTTCAAACGAAGCACTCCGAGCTTCGTGAGAACCTCCTAGAGTTCGCTGTGTGCTTGGATTGTCCTAAAACATGACCATTAAAAGTTCATGAATAGTGCATGAAAACTGGGGTTAGGGTTCTTAGGGTTTTCGAAGGTCTTATGCTCTAAAACTTGTACC